CCCCCTCTCCACTCCTCCTCGCATTCTACAGCGCAGAGCGGGCACCTGGCGTAGGTTTGTAAGTTTGGGCACCGCTAAGCTCCACTCCACTGACCGAAAAAGTTTCATTCTGTTTCTGTGTTTTTTTCTGTGTTTGTTTGTTTCTATGTTTGTTTGTTTCTGTGTTTGTTTGTGGAGTGTGTGTTTGTCTGGCCGCACGATAATTCGAGAAGGGATTGAGAAAGCGATCAGGGAATTTCAGAGGGTCGTTCTATATCATAATAAAAAGACACATCGAGTTCGAAGATGAGCATTCTAACTCAAAAATTGACTTTAAAAAATTAAAAAACCACAGGTCGCAAAGTGTAGTTTTTATTGATTTTTTTTTTTTATGGGTTTCTAAGGGGTAGGGTAAGATGCCCAATGATGGACACCTTAAGAGATGGATCTGCCCAGTGATTATGGACACCCCCTTTTCCCAGAATGTAGACAACGGAGCGAGGTAGTTTCGCTTATTATACCACGGTAGGAGCTCGGGTGGGGGTCTTACTAGAACATTAGTTTCGTGCCAAGATCGTGAAGTGACGAGTTTGGCTGCAAATCGAGGAAAGTGGCCATCACTGATACAGTGGTACAGTCCATTACTGGGCACCTTACCCTAACAAGTAATACAGGGGCGAAACTTTCGTCCGTTTTGCTCTATCGTGTACCGTTTGGGTGCTAGAGGGCATTTCTTGACGAAAATAAGGTGAAATGACCAAATAGTCTGTAAAACCGTAAAAAAAGGCTTCAAACCAATAAATTGTACCGGAAGTAATACTTAAACCACACATCTGGCGTTGAACTACGCCCTCCTTTGGGCTCAAGGGTCCCTTGATAATCTACTATCACTAAAACGTTGATTTTTACATAACAATCTGTCAAAATCAGGTCTTTTAATGAATATCTTTGTCAAACACCAGAAGTTTCATTTCCCTAATTTAAGAGTAATAAGTCCCCAACAAATGCTGTAAGCATGGCAAATTTGGGGGCCGAAAGGCCCTATTTCCGTATACACTCCTGTTAACTTGTTTCTGGTGTCAGCGCCGCAGGCCTAGCTATATGTGTTCCAGGCGCGTCGCAGCGTAACAGTGTTTCGTGAGATATTGCGAAGCCTGTTACACGAGACGTGGTCTGGCGTACATTTAGCTAGTTAACAGTGCAGCATTGTCAAAAAGTGTCAAGTCACGAGTCAGGCGTGCTCCGGCCTTAAAGATAGTGTTTCTGTACTTTGCTACCAATTGTCTGTTCAATAAATACGTGATTACACACAACTTTTCATATTTCTTTTTTGGAGTTAAAGAAACCTATTGCGACCAACTCTAGAAAAACAAGTGTGCGAATATCGCTCACTTGTGGGTGTGTGAATATCCATTCGTACACTTAGAGGGGTAAAGGTGTGAATTTTACTAGGAAAAATTCTGCAAGTTTTAGCTTATTTTCGTTAAAAAAAAAAAAAAAAAAAGACCCTCCAGCGCCTAAACGGTTAGAGATAGAGCCAAACGGACGAAATTTTCGCCCAAATAGCTCTTCATTGACGAGTTACCCCTTAGAAGTACATTATTAAAACTCTCAATCAATAATCGATCTTGGAAGCAGATGATACAAATTTATGAACAGGGAAATGTTCTTTTTTATCTCTCTTATTAGCTGCTATGCATTTGTTTTTGGTTGCTTTGCAATCTTGCGATTCGGCGGCCTATTGGTGTAGAGGAGGATATTCGGGGAGGGCAGGGCAGGAGGGCGACGCCGTATGAGGAAGTTGCCCGATAAGAGGAACAAGAAGAAGGTAGCACTG